CAATCTGTGGGTCGTCTTCTAATTCTCTTGACATTGTCTTTCATAGAGCAGAAGTTTAATTTTAATGAAGTCCAGCTTGTCAGTGATTTCTTTCACGGATTGTGTCTTTGGTGGTGTACCTACAAAGTCATTACTATGCCCAAATTTAACTATCTAGGTTTCTCCTACATTCTAGGAGTTTTATAATTTTATATTTTACCTTTAGGTCTGTGATCCATTTTGAGTTAATGTCTGTCAATAGGGTGACATGCTACAGCCATAGCCACAGGGAACCTTGGTTGGAAGGAGATCTACTGCTCACAAACCCTCTGGGGCATGAATAGGGCTGGCCCATTTGCCCACATTCCCTGGAGAAGGAAGAAATCCCATTTATTCTTAGTTTGCACACTATTCTCTGCCCCAGAGATAGCTGCTCTTTTAAAGTTTCTGTTTGATAAAATAAGCAGTGATGTGAGTGTAAGAGAGTAAAATTTTGTATAATTTTGTACCAGTTTTGTATAATTTCTCTCTTCTGAGCAACATAGAGAAGTTAATAGCGAAGACCTTACTGATGCAAGGTGCATGAGAAAAAGAAAAGTCACAAAATAAGATTTTGTAAATCCTAGCTCATCACTTATGAATGCTGTGACGTTTGTTGAATGACCGTCTTCTAAGTTTTCTCATCTGTAAAAGAAGATTGGCAATAGTATCTTACCTGGGCAAAGCCTGCTCAAATACTTTCTCTCCTGATTTTAAACTGGGCCAATATGGCCATACCGAATAATGACTGTATTTCTCAGCCTCCTTGCAGCTATATGTAGCCACGTGACCAAGTTCTGGCCAGTGGGGCATAGGTACAAGTGGTATGGGAAACTTCTGGAGGGTTTCCCTTCTCCTCCCCTCTCTTTCTGTCCCTGGGCTGAACTGCAGGCATAATGGCTGGAGATGGAGCAGCCATCTGGAACACGAGGTTGTTTTAGAAATGGAGAGTGGGGGGCATGCATAACAGACAAACGAGACAGAACCAAGTCATTTCCCTGATACCGGGGAGTTGCCACACTAGCCCTGGGCCATTTTATGTCAGATTTTCATGTCACAGAAAAGTAAACTTCTACCTTATATAGGCCACTGTCATTTTAGGTCTCTGTTACTTGTTATTGAATTTAGTCCTAATAAATTCATAACCTCATAGATTTCTTGGGAAGATTAAATGAGATATTGGGTGCAACTTCCATGTTACAATAGCTGGCACGTTAAAAACACTCAGTAAATGTCAACTTTTTATTAGTAGCTTCTCTAGCATCTAAATATAATAACTGTCCCTCATCCCCAGTGAGCATTCCAGGGGGTAGTCTTCCTGCGAAGAAAAGTTATTGAGATTGTGTTGTTAGCTATTTTTTGGTTCCAAACAATTATAAAACAGAAAATAATATCATTATAAACAACTAATTCAACTAGGAATAATTTCATTTGAGCTCTATTGTTCTGTTTATTAGTTTTAGCTGACAGAACTCAGCCTTACAAATTTGTGTGGTATTTTAACTGGAAGATAAGTCATACATTCTTTTAAATAACTATGTTTACAAACACATAGCTCAATTGTTCCACACTTGAAATCCAGCCTTTCAAAACACTTTAGGTGCATTCTTCTCCTTGGCTTTCTTTGTTTGAAAAAAACATGTTGGAATGTTTACCAGAAGTCAGTGGCCCAAGGCCAACTTTGTGCTTTGTGACGGATAGATGGTCTATTTATTCAGTGATATCTGCTGTGTCCAATTAATGTGTGTTGACTCAATATTTTCTAAGATCCTGTTTAGCTCTCAAGTTCTCTGATTCTGCAAAATATTGACAGTTTAAAGAACAGAAACCTTTATTCCTAAGGAATCCTAAGAGAAAAAAAACAAGGACAGTAAACCTGAAGAAAGAAAATTGTTACAAGGTTTAGTATCGATGAATGAAAGAAAAGAGAAGACAAAGAACAAGATGGTCAGTCTTTAATGTTTAAAAACACAAAAATGTTAAAAAATGTTAGATATAGCATTTGAAAGGTAACGCTCCATCCTACTCTACATTGATACAATTAAAAAAAACTAAGTACTAATATTTTTATGATGACGTAAAGTAGTATTTTACATGTTGACTCCATTTTACAGTAAAGAGAAAATATTTATGTGGAACCACAGAAATACTGCTGTATAGATAGCTCCAACTTAAAAATGGGTCATATTTTATTTTCTTTTTTAAAAATTAAAACAGAATTTCAATTACAGTTGACATACAATGTTATATTAGTTTCAGGTGTACAACATAGTGATTAGACATTTATATAACTTAGAAAGTGATCACTCCGATAAGTATAGTACCCATCTGACAAAATTGGGTTGTATTTTAAAAGCCCATTGAGTGGTTTGATATGAAAATTGGACAATATTTTCTCTGTAGAAAATAGTAAAATATAACATGTCCCAAAGCTAGCCCACCAGGCCCATTTAAGCCAAATAGTAGCTGAATTACACATTTATAAATATAGTTTGAGTTCTGAGGTCCAGGAGAACCTCGAGCTTCATTTATTGAGATAACCATGTTTTTCTTACATTTAAGCTGTGTGGAGTGACATTTGTATTAATTCTTGCTCTTATTCTTGATTTACGTCTTAATATTATTATTTTTTACAGTAATCCATATCAGAATTTTAGCTGCCCTTCCCTGAAAGACAAGTACCGAATTCTTTTTCTTCTGCTGAATAAGGCACCTACCCCTATTTGTGAAGAGTGTTTTTGTGGTTATTAAAGCATGCAAAAATAAATCTGAAAGTTACGATCCACAAGGCACATGTGACTAGACACCTTGTCCCGGGCCTTGTTGGGGGAATATGGGGATTCGGGAGGAGACGAATGAATCAAGGAATGAAAATCAAGAGAATTTCTGAGAACAGATGTTTCTCCAGATCAGGATTCAAGAATAAAATTGAAGTTCAGAAAGAAAAAGGACCCTGCCTCAAGGATCGAGAGTCGAGTTGGCTGTTGGCACTGATACGATCTCAGATGCATTCAGCGAGCCCTCCTGGTGGCCGCTTCTCTCCTTCTCAACTTTTCACAGAAACCAAACTTATTTGGTTATTCACTGTGCTCGTTGGCTAAGGCTGCTGCAACAAAGTGCCACATACTGGGTGGCTGAAACAGACAGATTTCTTCCCATAGTGCTGGAGGATAGATAGAAGGTCAAAATCAAGCTGTTGGCAGGGCTAGTTCCTTCTGAGGGTCATGAGGGAGAAGCTGTTCCATGCCTCTGGCCCAGCTTCTGGCAGCCTCGGGCATTCCTTGGCTTGTCCATAGAGGGGCGTCTTCTCCCTGTGTCTTTACATGAGCTTCCCTGGTGTGCATGTCTTAACGTCCAGATTTCCCCTTTTTATAGGGTCACCAATCATGTTGGATTAGGGGCCCACCCTAATGGCCTCATTTTAACGTGACTACCTCTATAAAGGCCCTTTTTCCAAATACAGTCTTATTCTGAGGTCCTGGAAGTTAGGGCTCAATGTCTGTTTTGGAGCGGACCCCGATTCAAGCTGTGGCATCCACCTTCGTCAAGGGAGGTCCCACAGCAAGCGTGTGGCCAGCGGGGTCACTGACTTTCATATTCCACATCGTGTCTCTCTAGAGCTCAGTGTTTACTAATGTGAAGGGAGAGCTGCCAACCGCACACGAATCTTATGGAATGTTTAGTGTGAGAATCTTTGAAAGGTCTTTGAAGGAGTCCAGATGGTGCCCTTTTGAGGGGAGCAGGCCGAGGACAAGGAGCCTGCTCCCGATGCCTTGGACCCGGGTACAGAGCAGGACTCTGGGGAGAAGCTTTGCCTGGGAGGCTACGCAGACATGTGGTTGAGAAGGAAGAACTTGGAGCTGCTTGCCTGAACTGGAATCGGGTTCTGGAACTCACTAGCTGTGCGACCTTGAGCAAGGCACATGACCTCTCTGTGCCTCAGCTTCCTCATTAGCAAAATGGCACTATGAATGACACCTAGCCCACAGGATCAGAAGAGGGACTGGGTATAGGGTGCTGAGCGCTGTGCCTGCCACTTCGGCGAGCGTCCACTAAGGGTTGGCTGGCAGCTGTCCATGCCGGGCTCCTTCCTCCAAGCGCCTGTGGTGACCCTTGTCCTGCAATTCCTGCCCAGCCTGGGCATGGGTGGGCTTGGGCTTGTCATCGGTGCACCTAGTTAAAATCCTGGCATCCCCACTTGCCGGATGTGCGATCTTGAATGACTAACCTGCTTCAGGTCTGCGTGTCTCAGTTTCCCCATCTTTAAATGGGGTGAGTGACATAATTAATTATAGAGGATCATTGCGAGGCTTAAAGACCATTCATTCGGCAAATATTTATTCTGGTCCTTTATGCCAGCAGTCTATCTAGAGATAAACATTAAACAAATTAATAAGAGAATTATTTAGCAAGTGGGAAGGATGTAAGTGCTAGAGGGAAAAACAAAATAGAGAATGGGAAAGAGAGGAAGTGGCAGTTTTACAAAAGGACATTTGCAGGAAACTTGAAGGGGAGGAGGGAGGGAGCCATGACTGCATGGGCAGTGCAAAGGCCCTGGGGTAGGAGTATGCTTGGGAGGTTTGAATGACAGCGTGGAAGCCAGTGTGACTGGAGCAGAGCAGGGGAGTAGACAGAAGAGGTGAAGGCAGAGAGGGCCAGAGGCTGCTGGAAGGACCTGGGCCTTATCAAGAGGCCAAGTTTAGCCAATGGATGCTTTCCACACTTATTTTTTTAGGCACTGCCTTTGTCTCAGGAATTATGCAGGGCGTTGGGGATAGTTCAGGCCTCGAAGAGCTCGGCCCTGCCCCCTAGGACTATTGAGATACGCAGATGGATTCCTGGGGAGGCCTTGGGACTGAGTCTGGGTCCAGAAACGTGCTCCAAAAGCCTTTGGAAGCAGAATACACCCTTCCAACACCCAGCGGCTTCTTTATTAGAAATGATTTAAAAAATTTTTTTCCTAAGGGCAATTGAAACCTGCCCCTTGCTGGGTCATTTTTTCTCTGTCCCACCTTGGGGGCTGAATTTAGATCACTTGCTTTCTCCTGCAGGCTCCAGGCAGAGCTCTGCCAGCCAGGCTTTGGGATGGATACAGATAATATATTCTTTTGAAGCACAGGTATTTGTATCATTATTCAAATGTTTACAATGTTAGTCTGTTGAATTTGGAACTTGAATCAGATGGGGCCTTTGACTGTGTTCTTTTCCTCCCTCCTCCCCACCCCTCCTTCCCTCCTCCCCCAACCCCGAGTTCCGGGTTTCGTTTGCTCCAGATGATGCCAATTCCTGTGCCTTTGCCTCTCTGTCACTCTGTTTCTGCACTGTCTTATCTCTGTCTCAACTTCAGCAATATTGACATTTGGGCTGGATGCTTCTTTGCTGTGGGAGACCATCCCGTACATTGTAGGATATTTAATAGCATTCCTGGTCTCCACCCATTAGATGCCAGTAGCACCCACTCCCCAGTCGTGATGACGCAAAATGTCTCCAGAGGTTGCCAAATATCCCCTGGGGGCGCACAGTATTTTTGGACTCAGTGGTGTGTCCCCTTCTTCATCTGTCTATCTGTCTCTCATTAACTCCATTTCTAACTCTGGCCAGCACGAGCCAGTCATCAGGGCTGGACTCTCCCCAGGGCTGGGAAGCCAGGCTGCATCACACTGGGCTCTGAAGCGATAGTGGTCTGTGGCTAGCACTCCAAAGGCGGCATCAGCACAGCGTCGCTGCTGTTTACCGTGGCCTTCCCGTCCCTCACTGGAACCCGAATTCGTGAATAGTATCCATAAGTGCGAAGGGTCTCCCGAGTTCCCCATGCCTTGGGCTCTGGCTGTGTCCTCCCCAGGGGGCTGATGTAGCTGGGGTCAGTCACCTCTGAGTTCTAAGCTATTGGGGAGCCCGGCCCCTTGTCCAGGCGGGACGTGCGCACCCTCTCCCTGTCGACAGCACGGTGACCTCCCTCCCCATTAAGTCAACACGTTTGACTCTCTTCCCCAGGCAAACTGTGAAGTGATGCTCTGATCAGCTCCCGGCTGTGAAGGTCTCCTGTCTGTCCCCTCCTTTCCCCAAACAGCAAACACTGGAGAAGGTCACAGCAAGTGCTGAAGGCTGCGGAACGGCGGAGCAGAGGGTGACCTCATGTGAACGTGGATCCACAGACCTGCCCTGGAATCCAGATTCTGCCTCTTCACAGCTGTTGACTTCACTTCTCTGAGCCTATGTTTCCTTGTCTATAACGCCACCCCGTGACACATCGAGCTTCTATGACACCCACAGTGAATCATTTTTTAAGAGCTTTATTGTAAATATAATTCACATGCCAGATACTTCACCCACTGAAAGTACAATTCGATGTTTTTTTTTGCATATTACATTATTAAAATTTTGTGGGAAAATATATATCACATAAAATACACCATTTTGACCATTTCTAAGTGTACCAATCAGTGGCGCGAATTGCATTAGCGCCTCCTTTACCACGAAATGATCTTCTGTGATGGTTGTGAACCGTCATTATCTTCTTGATTTGTTCTTTCATGTTAACACAAATGGTTAATGACTAAAAAGAGAAGCATACGTTTCAATTTTAAGGATGTTATTGGAAATTGGTAAAGTGTTTCACGTGTGAACTAGAATTTGCACTTATGAAACAAAAATAATGCACTTCGCAGGTCCCGCTGTCACTGCCTTAACCTGTAAACATGATTTAAAATTCCAAGATTTGTGTGCCTACAGAATGACAGCTCTGTGTCTTCGTCACGGTCCCTCCTTGTCTATGTTGACTCTGCTGTCTGCACTTGGGGACGCTAAGCACCCAAGGAGCATTGGATGCTCAAACTGTACCCAGAGGGAGTGTCAAAGGTGCTCAGCATCTAAGAATTTACTTTCGAAAGCAACAGGGGTGGCTGGCTGGGTCTGGACCTGTAGCTGAGCATTCTCCAAATGAACTTCTGTGTTGAATACAATGCTTATTAAAGGATAAGTAATACAAATGTATATATTATGAAAACTCCATAGTCACTACGGCAACTGTTTCGAACTTAGAACAGCTGCAAGATATTTTGGGGAAGAGGATTTTGCATGGTTCCCATGGCGATAACAAAGAGCTGTCCAACTTGCGATCGAATTTATTCTTGTTTTAAGTTCTGCCTACCAGAGGTGGCCCCTTTCTGCCTGCCCCAGGGGGGCCTTTCCCCCGCCCCCAGGGCTGTAGATTGAGGATTACTAGTCATGTGCAGGAAGCACACTGCACGGTCCCTGTGCATAGTGGTCCCTGTGCATACACGGTCCCTGTGCATTCGCTTTATAACTGATGCCTCTGCTGTGATCAATATGGGCCAATGGAATCTGTAGAAACACAGACGGGCTGTCTACCACTTGTGTAGGAATTTTCTAATCTCATGGCCCTTGTCTTAAGCATAAACCATTGTGTTCCCTGTGAAAGCCTCCTCCAAGAGGACAGGAATATGGAATTTTCAACGATCGTACTCGATACTGTTTCCTATGGAATTTAGAAATGAACTCACGTTGCTCTGAGCCTTCTGTTTTGGGATATCGGTTGGAGCTCATTTTAAGATCCCCTTTTTATTAAAATCCTTAAAGTAAATGCCACCGACGAAGCGTCCACATGCTACAGGCAGTAATGGAACAGCCAGGCATTTAGAGATGGGCTGGGGGCGGTGCTGAGGAAGCAGCAGGCTCATTTTAGCTCTGTCCTGGAGTAACACTGGATGAATCTTGACTCAGTCCTCCCAGCGCCTCCCTCCCCCACCCTCCCCTCTCCCAGGACTGTGCCTCACGATATTCTGATATTCTTTCGGGGTTGGCATCAGGTGTGTACCGGTACGCCTTCCGTCCACACACGTCACTCCTCGTTTCAGAATGAAGAAACTGAGGTCGAGTGAGTGTGCCTCTGGATCCCCAATGCGAACCTCCCAGCTCCCACGTCCTTCTGGGGCACCCCACTTTTGGACACCTGGACTCCTGTGAATTGTGTGTGTGTGTGTGTGTGTGTGTGTGTGTGTGTGTGTGTACTGGGGGGGGTGGGTGGTCCTTGGTATCTCTCACTAGGTCCCACGCAGACCAGTTTCTCCAGCTGTTCCCTAACTCCTTAGTCATCAGAAATCTGAGGTCGGCTCTGTTCGTGGCCTGTTTGGGGTGTTCTTGTCACACCTTGCTCTTGGGCTTTGTGTCCATTTCTCAGAACTGCTGTGACAAAAGACCACAAACTGGATGGCCTAAAACAACAGGAATTTATTCTCTCACAGTTCTGGAGGTCAGAGGTCCGAGATGGAGGTGTCCACAGGGTCGGTTCCCTTTGGGGACCCTCTTCTGGCTTCCGGCTGGCGCTGTTCCCGGGAGCTCCTTGACTTGTCCCTGCCTCACTTCATCTCCACTAGGCCCTCTTCCCATGTGTCTGTGTCCAAATTTCCTTTTTATAAAGACACCAATCGTTGGACTCAGCCACACCCCCATACAGTATGACATCATCTTAACTAATTATATCTGTGAAGATGCTATTGCTAAATAAGGTCACATTCCGAGGTTCCAGGTGGACACCCATAATTTCGGGGAACACTTCAATCCATGGCAGCTCCCACCTCTTCCTGGTCCCCATCCCACATCTTCTCGGTGACCAATCAGGGCAAAGAGACCTGATGAGATGTCCTCCCAGAGGGGGCATAGGACCCAGGGATGGAAGCTTGAGGACAGAGAGGTGGCCACCCACTAGGGGAGCGGATAACAAGGGAGAGGGCTGGTGGCAGCTGGGGAGGGTTCCAGGGCTGGGATGGGAACCCAGCCGGGGAGTTGGAGACACTTTTGCATATGGCTTCTGCTTGTGATGGGGAGCGGGGGCAGGAGGCAGGGTAGAGAGAGATAGAGAGCTTAGAGCTGGGCAGGATCTGATGCCAGAATGTGCTCTGCGAGGGGGTAGTTCTCTGCTCAGGTCTGGAGCTGGGGCGGTGGGCAGAGGGCTGTACCACTCTTAGCCCCATATCCAGATCCATTAAATCAGAATGGCTGGGGGTGGGTCCTCCTGAGTCTCTACATCTTTTGACTCTCCCCCTCCGAGTCTATATCTCTGAGTCTTCCCCCCAATCTCTATATCTGAGTCTCCTCCTTTGAGCGTCTGTATCTGCGAGTCTCTCTCCAAGTCTCTATCTCCGGGGGACAAAGGAGGATGAGTGGGGAGAGCTCAGATGTATAGAGACTCTGGTGAGGGTGACTCAGAGATACAGGGGAGACTCAGATATATACTTAGAGTTATAGAGATTTGGGGGGAAGATACTCAGAAATTAAGAGACTCAGAGAAATAGACTTGGGGAGGAGAGACAGAAATGAGATTCAAGAGGGAGAGACTCAGAGATATAGAGACTGGCAGAGAGGAGACCCAGACGTAGTTGACTCGCTAGCAGAGAATCCAAAGACGTGACTCAGCGGGAAGAGACATGGAGATGAGAGCGTTGGGGAGAGAAAGATAGACCCATAAAGCAATAACACAGACCTTGTAGCTAACCTGTGGGGATTTCTTAATTTCCACGTGGAATAGTATTAAAATCTGTCTTTGGACTAGGACAAAAAGCTAGTCTCAAACTTCTCAAAGGGTTGGTGAAATTCAGAACATCTTCTGCATCTATAACGTGACGGTGATCCCAGAAAGACCCGAAGCCGACGTCACCAGCAAGTCGTAGTCACTGTGCCTCTGGGAAAATACTTTCTCTGGATTATGGAAATGAGACGCGTCATAAAGACATTGAGAACATGGGCCGGGAACCTCCCTGTTGGAGCAGAAAGACCCGAAGCCGACGTCACCAGCAAGTCGATAGTCACCGTGCCTCCGGGAAAAGACTTTCTCTGGATTATGGAAATGAGACGCATCATAAATACTTTGAGAACATGGGCCGGGAACCTCCCTTTTGGGGAAGAGGATGGAATATAAGGAAAGCAGAGAGATGAGAGTGGCCCATGGCGTCAGATTGGAACTGAAGGCGTCGAGGGATGGTTTTAGCATAAATATGTGTATATAAATGCGTGTCAAGCATAGATAGATATAGATGTTTAAATCTGTGCACCTGTAGACATGTCTTCACATGTAGTGTACATATGAATATACATACTTCGGTATACGTTATTTATGTAAATGGCTAAGTATACATGTGTCTGTACATACATACACACATGTACATATATTTTCTACTTTATTAGGATAAAACCTAGAAAAAGCGACTCCCAGTATTGATATTTACACCTACCACTGAGGCGTGGTTTATACGGACCATGGAAAAGTGAGCCACAGTTCTCAGAAGAGAAGGTTGATGCCCCAGGGCTGAGGTAAGGAGGGTGAGAGATGAATCTGGAACAGTTGCCTGTGCCAGAAAGTGGGAAGACACTCACAAGAATAAAGACACAGATCCATGGGACATCGAAGCAGGACGCAGAGACTCCTAGCCATGTCTGGGCCGATGTGAGTGCCACATTAAATAAAGACAGTAGTGGGTTTCAACCCTTTGTATCAAAAAAAAGGTCCCGAGTCCATACTGAAACCAGTAACAGAAAAGCAGATGGACGGGGGAAGGCAAATGCCCTTACGGCAGAATTAACGCACAAAGGCGCCGGTTCTCCCAACTGGAGTCTCTGCGTCCTTGCGGTCACACCTGGCGACGGCACACCTTCTGTGACCTGCATGTCCAGCACTCACAGGAGCGGCCGTTGCTGCCAAGGACGCGGTCCCAGCCGGGAGCCGCCCTGTGAGAACCAGCGGCCGTTCACACGTCCACCTGTCGGGGCTCCCCGGTTCCTGCCTCAGGCCCATGGCTGCCCCCTGGGTCATCCTGGGCACCCAGATTCCAGATAAAAACAGTGTGTCCTGGAAGGAGGACAGGCTATGGCCAGTGCCTGGTGGACCAGGGCAGGGGAGAAACTAAAATGGGAGGCTTCGGGTTTCTCAGAATAGAGGAGGTGTCCGAAGGGAAGATGCCCAACTTTCTGCCATGCTCTGAGAGCAGGGGACTTTGTCTGTCGTGCTTTCATACCCACGACGCCCAAAAGGGAGCCGCAGGAGGGCCTGGTCGCTATTTCATTGACATTAAAGCTGAGGCACGTGCACATACACACACAGTATCCGGAAGGAGAGATTAAGAAAATGATTATGTTTGTCCCTGGGCAAAAAGACTGGGAGACACAGTGGGAGTGAGACTATTTTACAGACTTGGTACCACTGAAGTTTCCCGATCGGTGAATATATGGCCGAGTCCCCTCACCGCCTTCCCCTACTCCCCCCACAAAAAAATCTTAAAACAGAGCAAAATGCCTATCGACCATCCCAGTGAAGAAAGTGATAGGGAATTATGTCCAATGATGCCATTTTTGAAAGAAGTTAGGAAGATGAAAAGTGGGCAAAAGATGAAAAGCCCTAAATATGGCCAAATCGTTCTAAGGGGCTATGTGAATATGGAAAAAAGGATCGAAAAAATGTTTGCCGAGCAACCTGCTGCCTGAACGATCTAGGGATCCAGGGAAAACCCTGCCTCCGAAGTGATAGGGAATTATGTCCAATGATGCCATTTTTGAAAGAAGTTAGGAAGATGAAAAGTGGGCAAAAGATGAAAAGCCCTAAATATGGCCAAATCGTTCTAAGGGGCTATGTGAATATGGAAAAAAGGATCGAAAAAATGTTTGCCGAGCATCCTGCTGCCTGAACTATCTAGGGATCCAGGGAA